ATATATACATATATATATATATATATATCTCGCTGAACAACAGAATCCAGCTGAGTGAGAAATAACAACTGCCGCTACTTTAAAAAACCATGTCATAGTGAGGGAGCACAAAACGGAAACAGATCGACACTGGCTATAGAAAGAACATATGATGACGAACAGATATGTGGAAAATCAAAAGATTGAGCAGAGCATGCGTTTTACCAAATTATGAGCAGAAATGCACAAGCGGCGCAGCGCGCGAGTAAGAACGGCGGTGGGTCGACGCTGCTCCTGCACGACCGGGTGGCACTGAGTCGGCAGATGACCGCACCTGGCTCCGTGACTCTCCGGAATGAAAGAACTGGTAAAGTTGCAGAAATGAAATTAAAAAAAAAGGGCGGCGTCCGAAGGAGATCGAGATGAAGAAGTTTCACGATAAGAGGCAAAGGAGGGAAGGAGATTAGGGTTCGATAGGGTAAATGGGATAATGTAGTTAGATTTTCTGGTTTTTTTTTTTTTAAATTTGTTCCAAACCCTGATTATATCATTTTGAGAATTAAGATCTTGTGTAATACCCATAATACCCATCGGACCTTTTAGTCCTTTTCTTCTTTTCTATGGGCCTCATTCCTCCAAATTCAACAACAATATGAATAAAAAAAAGCTGTGGCCCAATGGGCTTGAATGAATCTATCTCGAACTTTTTGAGTCTCATTAGGTTGTATCGGATTAAATTTTAATTGAATTGAGACATTTCTATTTCATAAAAAAGATTAAAATATATTTTTATGTGGTATCTATATATAATATATCTATATATAACATGGTTCTAGTCAAGTTTTAGTGAACTTATCTATAGTAAATTTGAATTTTATGTATTTAAAATTAGATTAGATTCACATGCTCTCGTCAAATTATAATTTATTTTTTTATATTTTTAACTTTTTTTATCAATCGTCGTACTCAGCATCGATTAATTTCTCTCTTTTGTTGTTAACAAAACAATTGATTTTTTACTCTCTCTCTCTCACATTTTATGTTTTATTCTTCTCTTTTAAATCACAATTCTTTGTCCTTTTTTATTCATCTTAAAATTGTTGTTGGTTGTTGACTTTCTTCTCGTGCCTTAATTTTATAACAACCATCTATTTCTCATACAATGTTGAAATGCACATATCAAAATAGTGGGAGTATATTTTTTTCCTCTCGTACTATTTAATTTATTTACAATTCACATGCACGTGAAATCATAAATATATTTTGATTATCATTATGTCGATAATCATTTATTGGAATCAAACATTTTTTTTTTGGTACTAATGTATATGTATGAGAAGGCAATTATTCGATGAGGATGATAATGATGATGACGATGCATTTTCACTCCTTACTTGTTCTTTAGACGATAGTGAGTATAATGAAAAGCTTTACAGTTTGTTACATGTTATATGTCATCTAAAATATATTTTTTTCACACAAAGATTAAGACTCTGTATCAATCACAACGTAAACTTCTCAACCAATTTGGAGCTTTATTTCATTATGTTCTTATTTTCTCTTGTATTTTTTCATGATTATTCTTTGTCTCAATTTAATTAAAGGTCATTTCATAATAAATAAATAAAAAGAAAATTTTGACTAAGGTTAATTATTTTTTTAATATATTTTATAACATAATTACAATGAGATAATATAGTTTTGGTTATACTTCTAACAATGTTGTCATAACCATTTTGAAATAAAACATATTGTTCTCTTAATTATTTATTCATTCTTAAAGTTTTATCGGCTTAAATAAGCATAGCTCCAACAATTAATTAAGCTTTTGATTTGTTGCCTTATATAGACTATAAAATTACATCACTACTCTTTTGGAGCTTAATGCAAAACTCATCATTCTTAGGCACTAATCTCACAACTCTACTATTGCTCAACAACTAATTTGATGATCGAAATTATTTGACTAAAGTTTTATTATTTTTTAGTAAAACTATAGTTATAGAAGTTTATTATTCTTTAGTAAAGAGTATTGAATGAACAAAACAAAATATAACATAAACAAAAAGAAAACATAAGACTTATAAGATTGATCATTTGCCACTTTCTCATATACAAAGGGAACAAAATTAGGGTATTATTCCATGAATCTATTGCTCTACTATCTTTGTAAATCAACAAGGAGGATCAAGATTGAGTTTGAAATTGAGAGCATATAGATCATTTCTTTTTTCTTTTGTATGTCATGTTTTCAAAGGTCTAGGTTAAATTTTGTTTCATAATAACAATATTAAAAATTTTATTTTAAACTCTTTATTTTAAAATATGAGAAATTATAACAATCATGTTATGTGAATTTTATACTATATAGAATAACATAACAATTTTAAATAATATTAAAAATAATTTTATTAAAAATAAATTTCTATTTAAATGCAAATCAATACATTAAACACTCAATTGTAATAGCCTGAACCCCAATGTCAGTGGGTACAGACGTTTGCACAATATTTCTAACTAATGGAATCGATAAATATTAAATATGCAGTAGAATTACACTTTAATACATATTACTTGTGACAGGATAATTATTTATTTATAAATAATTAAGATATCTAAATTTATTTATAAATCTAAAATAGAAACTAACAAGGTTTTCTTCACCACCTTCTATTGATCTTGGACTTGTTTCTCATCTCCTCTGACCAAGATGGAGGGTGAATTGAGGTGAACTTCACAAGCTCAGTAAGAAAAAAATTATATAATAGACTTACGTACATATATTTACACAATATATAAAATATAATAATATTTATAATAAAAAAATTGTCAAATAAAACATCACAATCAAAATACACAACAAACATTAACGAAAATTTATCTTCATCTTTTTTATTATGTTCTACAATTATTCCTATATATTATTATAAAATTTTATACTTAATTCAAATCATTCGTTTTTTATTATTTACATTCTTTATTCATAATATTTCTCTACTCAACTATCACACTTGAATATCACATTTACACTCAAAATATCATAATACACTTGGAATATCACATATAAGATTTCATCACGCAATGTCACAATCAAAGAGAGGCAAAAAGAATCTTGTCATCGCATAGATAGGACACGAAATCTCACATTGGCCACAATGGGTACATTTGCAAGGTGACCCACACGCTTATAAATATTTATCCACGTATGAACTAAGTGTCAAACATTATCCACGTGCAGGTTCACCATATCCACTAAATTTCAACCACACACGTACCCTCCCCTCCTCGATTCAAATAAACGAGTAGGTATCTAGGACCCTTAGACTCAACACTTTTTCTAAATCTCTCTCAATTTCAATTTACTTATTTTATATTTAAGATTTTAATTTTTATGCATAATTAAACACAAACACACAAAATACACAATATTATCACGCACATCAAAGTTATACATTTCAAACTACTTTTTGAATAATCTTGTATCAGATCACATAATAAGTACAAGATACTCAAATTTCTCATGCAACTGTACTAGATTACACAGCAAGTACAATGTGTCGTACATCTGTACCAGATCACACAATAAGTGTAGTGTACCCAAATTCCACATGTACACACACTGGTTATGTATTTTACAAGTATAACGTGTGTAATCCACACATATATATTCTAATACACATATATACCATTACTACATATCTCACACAAACTATATATTAATTCACATACAAACAATCTCTATCAATACATACGCACACATTCATACTTAAACACGCATACATAATTACATATAACACATCATATATAACCCATCATATATAATTATTCATGTATTTGTTCTTATCATATCTACTCTTATCAAGTCATATCTCATTCATCGTGTGTTTTTTTGTATATACGCACACATGCATAACAATTTGTATATATATACACTATACAAACACACATAAATACAAATTAGACATATTAATTATATTTATATTATATTACACATATATTTAAACATTCACACATCATACATTATATATACACACATTTATATAAACATATAATTTATGTCTCCGTATGGAATACATATAATTCTTAACTACAGTTTAATCGAACGAGCTTCAGGAATCATTTCTAACTCGGTCTACAATCCTCTCAAAAATTCGGATACCATTTGAATAATTTTTCTCGTTTATAATAGAAAATACATATATTAAATTACGAATAATTTCAAAAACTATATACACACGAAATGAGAAATGAATTTTACTTGGGACACGTGGTCCCGATCGATAGCATCACTACGTGTTTCCAAATGCGTGTCATAAAAAATGTCACGCTTCATGTCGGGATCTCTGTGTGTCGTCGTATACAGTGTACCAACAGCAGATCTGGTCAACGCACTTCTTTTTTTTTCTTCCCGTTTTTCTTTATTTTTTTCTTTATTTTTTCTTTCTTTATTTCTTTTTTTTTCTCTTTTTTCATCACTGCAATTGTTTTCTCTTTCCTCTGTTGTGAACCATGGCCACCACGTGCTTCCTCTCTAGTTATACGTAAATCTTTCCTCTGCTACGCACATGAACTTCCTCTCTAGCAAGTCCGCTGTGCTCTCTTCTCTTTCTTCTTCCCTTCCTCTTCTTCTTCTTTCTTCATTTTTTCTTCTTTTTCTTTTCTCTTTTTTTATTTTTTTCTTCTTATTCTTCATTCTTTTTCCTTTCTCCTTCTTCTTCTTCTTCTTCTTCTCTTTCTTTTTCTCTTTCTCTCTCTTTCTCTCTCTCTCTCTCTCTTTACATGACCATGATTCTTCTTTCTCTTTTACTTTTTCTTCTAGTCACGCATCAATGCGTTGCAGACCCCGTCCAACTCTCCTCCTCTTTCTTTCTCTTTGGGTTGCGGCGTCGCACAACACAACGAGACCCTTTTCTCTCGATTGTCGATGTCACTCGACCTTTTTTCTCTTATCACAATCGCGTCTCTCTCTCCTACTCTCTCATTTTTTTTTTTATATTTTGTCATTTAATTACATGTATATACGTATATATATTTCATGTTTAAGCTCTGCTTCTTGGATTTTTTCTGACATGTGGGCTTAATATGAGTCTTGGTATGTGTATCAAGCTATCAATTTAACGGACTCGTTTGAAAGTGATCAAATATAGTTAAAAGTATTGGATCTTAATGCATCAAGTTTAAGTAAACTTATAATATGCAAATACCATTTTTGTAATATTTTTATTTTATAATAGACGAAATAAAAATTACAAAAGTTTATTGATATAAAAAGCAATTATGGTCCCAGAATCACAAAGTTGCCATTTTATTTTTCTGAAATCCCATCATCAGAAAAAATTAGTTTTTAAGCATCGTGTTGATTGAGAAGATTCTATTGCCGAATGCAAACAATTCTTCCGCGACGGATCCAAGTATGTTTTCACTTATATATCTCATTAATTCAGTACGATATTGTGTGTTTAATTTCTACAGATCTATGGATTTGAAAAAAAAAATTATTCTAATAAT